AAATCTGAGATAAAAAGGACGGGGAGCATCTTTATACAGTTCCAGGCTTCCTTTGACAGGTTGGAGTCCTTTGGCGAACAATAGGCAATTATGGAGATTTTGAAGTAGACCTATTTCCTAAGCATCACTGGTAATTAGTTACACAAATTAACTTAAGGCAATTTATCCATTAGGCCTGGGATGGGCAAACTAGGGCCTATGGTCCGGATCAAATTTGCCCACGAGCTCCTACTTGGGAGCGGGGTCTGGGGTTTTCCCTGCTCTGGTGCTGGGTCAGGGGCTGCACCACGCGGCTCTTGGAAGCCATGGCATGGCCCAGCTCCGGCTCCTATGTGCTTCAATGGCCCCCTCCGGTGCTCCAATGGGAGCTGCAGGGGCAGTGCCTGCAGATTGGGCAGTGTGCAGAGCTGCCTGGCCCCGCCTCTCTGTAGGAGCCAGAGAAGGGACATGCCACTGCTTCCGGGAGCCACTTGAGGTAAGTGCTGCTTGGAGCCTGCACACCTGAGCCTCTTTCCCCCCCCCCTTTTTTCCCAAACACCTTGATCCCAGCCCAGAGCACCCTCCTGTACCCCAAATGCCTCATCCCCACCCCAGAGCCCACACCCCAAACCAGAGCCCTCACCCTCTCCAATACCCCAACCCCAATTTTGTGAGCTTTCCTGGCCTGCCATACAATTTCTATTCCTGGATGTGGCCCTCAAGCCAAAAACTTTGCCCACCCCTGCATTAGGCAGTCTGTCACAAACTTTAAAGAGACATACAGACAATGACATTATTGCACACAAGATTAATCTAAATATTAATATTCCCTTTTGATCTCTGAATCAATAGCTATAGTGACAGACAGGAACTGTCTTTTACATGGCTACTATCTAACAAGATATAAGTAAACACATACAATTAGTATCACCTCTAATTCTCTAACAATACATGTTTGCACTTCAAAGTTCTTGCCTATCTACCATAGACTGGCACTAATTACCATTTACATACTTTTCTAATGTGTCTCTAAAGGTTGAATCTGGGTCATTTATCCTGCAGGATGCTTAACCCTTTCTGGCCACCCATCACACTTTGTATAAGATTCGTTGCAATTATATAACAGTGGTAGCAACAATGCTTTTGCATGGTCACATTTTAATCAGATAATGTCACAGAGGATGAATGCCTATTTTTCCCAGGTTGTGAATTACTATGAAGCTTAGTCAGGCAATAGGTGCCCAGATTCTTATCATGAGGCTGTAATGTGCATGCTCAGGCATGTTTTAGGTGGCTGGGTGACTAGAGTGAGGCTGCAGTACAAATGGCCAGAGGAAAAAAACTTAGGTACCCTGTGAGTTTAGGTGCCTACAGGGTCAGGTGGCAGCTGAGGCAGAAGATTTGTGGATCACAGTCGTGCCTAAAAATGGGGATTAGGTACTTATGGCACCTACCTGGATTGCATCCTTAGTCCCCAGTTATTTTTATTAGTAAAATGTCAAATGCATTAAAGCAGTAGATCAATCTTAAAATCCTAAGAAAAGCAGATAAATAGGGTGGAGGGAGGAAAATAGTAGCTATAAAATTTGGAGTGATAAGTATACTGACTTAATATAAACCATAAATGACAAAATACTGTACCATAAGGGAAAACTTCAGAACTTTTAACAAGTGAATGTCATTTTACCCAGTTATTTTTTTCTGTATAAAAGAGTGATTGCTTGAATGTTTCAGGATTGCCGTATCAATCTTCAGAGCCAAATAAGCCTTCTCCATAGTATTCTGCATTTTTCTAGGCTTCTGCAATCAAGTAAAATGCTTCTGTGGATATTGTGACCTAAATTCTGGCTGTGTTTGTGGGGGATGAGAGAGAGGGTGCAAAGAGTGTCCTCGCAGTTGTGCTACTGTGCACCAGCTCAGGGACCAGCCATAGTATGGCTGAGGCATACAGGTACTATACTAGTCTACTGCCTTCAGTGACAGTCCTCTCTCCGGAGGGTGCAGAACAGACATAACTGGGTACATGTAGCAAATATGGTGGGATTCCTGCTACAACATGCCCCCTTCTCCTCATGATAGGTTTGTGCTTTACAATGCTCCAATAAAGGTCCCAAACCACCTAGATTGTAATTTTTTTACACATAAAAATCTATTTTGGAAGACTTATAAGCTTGAAAAGTCAAGCACTCAAAAGGTAGGAAATGCTGGAATTAAGGTTGTGTGTGCATTACAGTAGTATTTAATGACAAGATCACAGGCTTTATTGTGCACAGAATCCATACTTCAGGATGCGTTGTGCTTACTGAATGGATAATTAGCTGACTTTTTTTCTTTATTCTTCTCATTCAGTGTAAAAAGAAAAGGAGTACTAGTGGCACCTTAGAGACTAACCAATTTATTTGAGCATAAGCTTTCCTGAGCTACAGCTCACTTCATCGGATACAATTTATGCTCAAATAAATTGGTTAGTCTCTAAGGTGCCACTAGTACTCCTTTTCTTTTTGCGAATAGAGATTAACACGGCTGCTACTCTGAAACCTCTCATTCAGCGTGTAGCCCCATATTTATGTATGGCCACACCACCAAACCCCGCCTTGAATACAGAATTATTAATTAAATGTCATTAATTGCCTCTTGGGCTGCTTTATAGTGCTCATTCCCAGAGAATGAGTGCTTCTCTGGGGTTGATGACAAGGATTAATCTTCACAAAACTCCTGTGAGGTGAGTTGGTGGTATTATCCTTGTTTGGCAGAGTTGTAAGCAACTGAAAACACTATAGGTAATGGAAAGTATTAGACAACTCCACCTATAATTACTTTTCCCATGAGTCCCACCTAAAATCTTCTGTGAATACTAGATTATTTTGCTAGCAAAATGGCAGGTGAAATTCAGAGTTGGTAAATGCAAAATACTGCACATTAGAAAACATAATCACAACTAAATTAGCAGTTACCACTCAAGAAGGATCTTGGAGTCATCATGGGTAGTTCTCTGAAAATGTGTGGTAGCAGTCAAAAAAAGCTGCTAGTGTTAGGAATCATTAGGAGAGGGATCGATAATAAGACAGAAAAATATTTAAGACCTCTATGTAAATCTATGGTACATCCACACCTTGAATACTGCAGGCAGTTCTGGTCTCCCCACCTCAAAAAAATATTAGAATTGGAAAAGGTACAAAGAAGGGCAATAAAAATGATTAGGGGTATGTAACCACTTCCATGAGGAGAGATTAAAAAAGAGGCTGGGACTGTTCAACTTTGAAAAGAGATGACTAAGGCAGGGGTGGGGAGAATATGATAGAGGTCTATACAATCATGAATGCTGTAGAGAAAGTGAATAGGGTAGTGATATTTATCCCTTTGCAAGGCTCAAGAACCAAGGATCAGCCAGTGAAATTAATAGGCAGCAGGTTTAAAACAAAAAGGAAGTATTTCACACAATACACAGTCAACCTGTAGTACTCATCACAGGGGATATTGTGAAGGCCGAAAGTATAACTGGTTTCCAAAAAGAATTAGATAGGTCCATAAATGGCTCTATCCTCCATGAACTTATTAGCCACGATGATTAGGGGACTCAGCCTCATGCTGTGGCTGTCCCTAAACCTCTGACTGCTGGGACTGGATGACAGGGGATGAATCATTAGATAATTGCTCTGTTCTGTTTGAAGCATCAGGCACTGGCTCTGATCGGAAAACAAGATACTGGGCTAGATGGACCATTGGTCTGACCCAATATGGCCATTATGTTCTTACCAGTTGTCATACATTTATCAGTGCCAACGACTGCATTGCTCTTCAGTAGTGCATCTCAGATTTTCACAGTGTATTAATGGTGTGGAGTTAGTTATTTCTAGAATGATGGAGACATTCCTTTCAAGATTAACCACTGAAGTTAACCAAAAAAATAAAATAAAAATCAATAAACCAAGATAAAGATACCTACCTGTTCCTGGTTAGCATATTATATTAATTAGGAACTTGGTAATGGCACTGATAGGTGATCATGAGAGTTTTTGGCATACATATCTTCAATGATCTTTGTACCTGGGGATATGAATACCTAGCACTTAGTGGGGGTTTTTATACAAAGAATTGTGTAAACATTAATAAATCCTTACTATAACCTCTCTGTACTAACTGTGTGCCTCACGAGGGTAAATAATTTGCTCATGACCATACAAGTCATTGGCAGGGTCAGAATTAGATTTCAGGAGGGCATGAGTTTCAGTCTCATGCTCAGTCCGTTAAACCTGTCTACATGCCTAAATAATCTGGAGGTGGGAGGAGAAAGTAATCTCTGAAATTAAATGGATCACAAGGACGTTTGGGCAGGCACAATGTGGAAGAACTCTTACCCAGAGGACTTAGAAATTAGAGAATACAGAAAATTGGGAAAATATTTAGTATCTTCTCTATTGACTTGTGCCCCACTTTGCTATGTTTTAATGAAACTTGGATTATGAACAATTCGGATACTTTCCTGGCTTTTTTCATATTTGTTTAGTTTAGTAAAATAAACCTGGCCTGCAAATGTTCTTATTTTGTATGTCTTACATAGAATTTTTTTAGTTAATTGTACTAGCAATATGAGCAGCTAATTAAATGAAATGGCTCGAGTATTTGAAAAAATCTTTTCTCTTGGTTTCTCTACTTTGTAAAGCCAAAATGCCAATATATTTTGATCATTTTTTTTCATCTTTACAGAAGATCATGCTGTATTCTCTATTTTTCTTCTCATCTGGACTAAATTCATTGACCTTATACTGGATCTTTAATTTTGTGTAGCATTCCTGTGGCTTAAAGTGAAAAGCAGCATTAATTTTTAAGTTAACTGTACCACTAATTTATGTCAAGATCAATGATAAAATGGTCAAGTATGTTGTCCAGTTATTGTCTAGATATTGACGGTGTTCTTTTTTGTGAGATGCCACCTTAATTGCTTTTCCAATTTATCTGTTTATTGAGGTGCTTGCTTTATACATTTCTTTATCGTTAACTTGAAAACGTTGCTTATACAGGTCTCCAAGTTAGCTGATGTTATGGTGAAATACGGTGTGAAGAAAGGAGATTGTGTTGTCATCTACATGCCCATGATTCCACAGACAGTATATACCATGCTGGCATGCGCAAGAATAGGAGCCATACATAGCCTCATTTTTGGTGGATTTGCATCTAAAGAGCTTTCTAGTCGCATTGATCATGCAAAGGTAAACCTTTAGAAAAACAAAGCCCATGGTAAATTATAAAAAATAATTGATAAATTGCTTTTTCCAGTGATTGTTATATTTCCCCTTTTATGGTAAATAGCCCTGTTTTGTTGACTGTACGTAGTATCAAAACGCAGACAGATCCTTATGCAGAGTGTTATATTTTTATAACAGATATTGAGTTTTAACTTTTTGACCTATAAATGTATGACTTTTTGTCATGCTGCTCTCTATGCTTAGAACAAACATCCTCCTGTGTGGCAACCATTCTCTGCTCCAACATCTTGGCTTGAAACCCACTTTTCATCTAGCCTTCCCTTAATTGTCTAAGATTCTACAAACTGGCCTTGTACTCTCCTTTTTGTTTGTTTTCCATCTGCGCATATTATGCTGTGAGCTATTCAGCTCACTTATGTTCAAGTACACTGTGTGTTTATAAAGTATTATGCATGTCTGACACTATATACTGTAAGTAATACCTAGCAATTTCTATTAGAAATGAATAGTGCTGCTCAAAATGTTTTTTAAATTCTGATGATTTATTTTGTGGGAATTACAGTTGGAAAAGAGAAAGGGAAATCACAGCAATTTCTTGAAATTTTATTTCTGCTTTTTCAGCAAGCTAGAGGAATGAATTTTAAGCCTCAGATGCTACTGATTAGCAAAATCATGTGGTGAAAAGAACCAAGTAAGAGTGCAAAACCTTAAGGTCAATTTACATAATAGCACAGAGCTAGCATTTTTCATTTTCATAGTAGTTTCCAAATATTAGATAATTAATCCTAATGGTCCTTCTCTCAGAGACAGAAAGAGAACACCGTATATAATTATCCCTGTTTACAGAGGAGAAAACACAGAAAGGGAGGTTAAGTGGTTTATCCAAGGCCACACAGCAAGTCTGTGGCAAATCAGGCATAGAACTAGGAGCTGCATTCCCTGGGTTTTGTGCTAGATTATGCTGTCATTTGTTTTAAATTTGAAAGGTGAATCTAATTGAACTATGTTTTATTCTCTTGATGAATGCTTTAGCTAGCTTGCATATTGAACAAAGTGGTGTGTAATGAAATGAGAGGCAAGACGAGGTGAGCCACATTTATACTGAAATTTCAAGATTTGACCAGATTTCAGAGCTCTGTACAGCTTTTTAAAAATGTAATACAAATTATATTAGGACTATTTTAAAGCATATACATTTAAATAATTGTGTAATTGATGGCACTGTGCTGAACTCAAAGTTAGTAAGATATTCTTTAGCAATTGCCCCAGTTAGTACTATAATTTGTGTTTATTGAACATTGAGGTACCAAACCTGATGTTGGTATGATATGCTAGAAAGAGTTGCATCTTTGGAACAGAGAGATCAAACTGTGAGAAGTTCTTTTGGAAGAAAGGTCACAATTTAGCTCTTGTCAAAAGACCCCAAATATAAGTAATAACAAGAACTTTCTATTGGATATAGAAAAGTATGAATATAATACCAGTTTGCCTTAATTTGTCTTGAATTTTAAATAGCTCTGGGAATGCTGTATAGACCATGATGATTGTTAGTCTTCTCAGGTATTGACTGTGCTATATACATAAGTGAATTGAGATGAAGTGATATGGAATGGGAATACAGGCATTTTTTGTAACCTCATCTCACTTGAAGTGGAGCATATATATATAGTTCACTACGCTGAAGTAACAGATACTTTTTTCTAATGTCCATTAAATGACTGTTAGATCGAAACACAATTTGTTTAGGCATCTTATTTTAATACTTCGAAAAATTTAAAAGGAAAACTGCAAGGACACTTCAAATATGACGTGGTCGGATGTGCAGTTTACAGATGTTGTTCTTTAAGTCACTGAAGCCTCTTGAGGTATGTCTACGTTGCAATATAGCCTGTGTCAGCTGACTCAGACTAAGAGACTGTTTAATTGCAGTGTAGACATTCAGATGCAGTTTTTCATTTTCAACAAATTTTAGCATGAAATGGGATCTTAACTGTGTCTGAGAAGCTTCCCCCGAAAATGGGTTGCTATCACCTGATGAACACCAGAAAGAACAGACCAAAAATAGTACTTGAACAAAACCTCTATCCCAAAATCATCATCATTCCTGTCACAGCTGGGGGCACAGGGGCTGGGTGCCAGTAGAGAGCAGATCCCAGTCACTGAATGTCAGCAATCAGGGCCTGCAGCAGAGATAGTCTCTAGGCAACCTCATCAGTACAGCTGGGCTGCAGCAGGCTGCCTGACTGGCCCCATTTCCTTATTGGTTGGAGAGGCCAGTAGGCTAGCTTTTAGGCCACTAGCAGTTTGCTGGCTGCTCAGTGCTCATGTCTGCCCATGTGACTGCTTCTGTATTATCTTCCTGCCTTGCATTCAGCCTTGCCTCTGTCCTGCCACTACCTTGAACCCTTCTTTACCTGCTCTCCTGCTTCCTCCAGCTCCTGACCTCTGGTTTGACACGTGGCTCCAGCCTCTGCCTCTGACCCTAGTCTCAGGTTCTAACATTGGTCCTGATGCCTGACCACTAGGCCTGAAACTTTTTCCAACCACCAGGCTAGTACTGCCCTCCTGCTGGTTGCCTGACACTGATACACCCACCTATCAGCAGCGGGGGGGCTGCCACTACTCTCCTCCTTGCATCATGAGCTCCTCAGCTCTGCTCCACCAGGCCACAGGGGGATTGGAGTAACCTGTTTCTGGGCAGGAGCAGGCTCTGTCTGGCAAGTGAAGTGGAAGAGATTCTGTGGCCTGGGGCTCCCCTCCAGGTGGTGATGCATTCCCGGGCCTACCTACTCACAAGGGCTATTACAGGGAAAGGGAGTGCCTGGGCAGTCATGGGAAGGAGCAGGCACGGGGAGGGGGTTTCCAGGCCCAGCTATTCACAGGGGCACTTATGGTCTAAAATAAACAAAGGCAATTTACTTCTTCACATAATGCACAATCAAACTGTGGAACTTGTTGCTAGCCACTATAACAAGGTTAAAAAAAGCATTAGATAAGTTAGTGGAGGATAGGGCCATCAATGGTTATTAGCCAAAATGGTCAAGGATGCAACCCCATGCTTTAGGTGTCCCTAGCCTCTGACTGCCAGAAGCTGGGAGTGGATGACTCGGCATGGATCAGTAGGTAATTGCCTCTTCCATTCATTTCCTCTGAAGCATCTGGCATTGGCCCTTATCAGAAGACTGGATACTGGGCTAGATGGACCTTTGGTCTGACCCAGTATGGCTGTTTTTATCTTGGGGGAGGGAGGTGCCTTACATTCTTGGGGGAGCTGGTCAGGAGGGGGGCCAGTACTCCTGAGTGCAGCCTCTTGTTCCCTGTAGCCTATCTGTGCAGCAGTTGATTGTCTTAGCAGGCTCCCTGCCTGTCTCACTCCCTCACTGTGCAGCGGCAGCAGCCACCAACGGGGCAGTTTAACCTTCCCTGCGCAGGCACGCTGAGGAGGTCTGTGGGGTCTCTGAGCAGAGAGCTGCGTCCAGAGAATTCAAGCAGGGACAAAGTCTGAGTAGAAACCGGGAAAAATACAGATATTGGATTTTTCAAAACCCAGACATTTTTCAGAGGTTTTTGGTGGGGGAAAAAACAAAAATAAGGTGCCCGATTTATTCTGAATAAGATACTGTTCTTGCACACAGATACGTCTATAATTGGCTACTCCTGATTATTATCATGAAACGATCGGACCATTTGTGTGATTAGACACTAAGATGATGAGCCTGGAACTTAAGAGACATGGTTGCCTCAGAATAATGGCAGTCCAATCTTATGTTTAAAGAACTATTTATTTTTGTAATACATGTTTTTTTAAAAAGTCAACTCTTCCATAGATTTAAAAAGCAACTGAATACAGCTTTATTAACCACTCTTACAGTATGATTAAGGCTAAGATTTTGTCATGGATATTTTTAGTAAAAGTCCAGACAGGTCATGGGCAATAAAGAAAAATTAATTGAAGCCTGTGGCCTGTCTGTGACTCTTACTAAAAACATCCGTGACAAAGTGGGGAGGTACAGAGTCTCCACACTGCCTGCAGCTGCTGGGCAGCTGCAGGGGCCCTGGCTCGGAGCTCCAGGAGGTCCCCACCACTTGCGGTGGCCGGGAACTCTGGGATACCCCCACCACCCATGGTGGCTGGGAGCTGTGGGGTCCCCATGCTGCCTGCGGCAGCCAGGAGCTGTGGGGCGGGTCCCTGTTGCCTGTGGTGGCTTGGAGATGCAGGGGGCCCCCACCACCTCAGGCAGTGTGGTACCTCACAACTCCCGGCCACCACCGGTGGTGGAGGGGACCCTGCAGCTCCCAGCAGCCATGGGCTGAAGTCATGGAGATCTCTGGAAGTTACGGATTCTGTGACTTCTGCAATCTCCGTGACAAAATCATAGCCTTAAGTATGATTTATCTGCTTTTATGTAGAATGTTACAGAATACCTGACAGAACTAAAGAGGAGTTGCAATCTCATATGGATTATATGCCCACACAGTGGCAGCTAGTCCGGCTAGTAAAACTATGTAAACATTAGTCTTCCCTCCTGCCCCCTGCAGCCCTTAAAATTTGTTGCCATTGCACTACCACCAATGCCTCTCCACTAGCAGAAGCAACAGAGGGCATGTAGTATTGCCAGTCTCAAATTACAAGTCAGATCCACAAAATCATGAGCTTCTTAATGTGAGGGTTCTGTTCATTGGTGTTCTGTTTTCTAATCCTTTAGATCGTGCTCCGTTCATGTTTTCATGCTGTTCTCTACATCCATGAGGGCTAGAAACTTACTAAAAAAAATTAAAGCTGACATGCTCATGTGACCACTTTACTCCAGAACAACAAATAATCACAAGTCTTGTGATAAAATCATAAGAGTTTGCAATGCTTAAAGTGCTTAGTGTAGCTCAGATAGTAGAAGCAGTTGTAAAGTCCATTTATTTATGTCTGAATACTGGTGACATCATAGAATTTTCAGAAGCCTTCTTAAGGCATTCTAACTGCACTCTCAGCAGTTGACTTCCCAATGATCTGCCACACACCATCCATCCATCCTTCCATCCATCCATCTCCTTGCTGGTCATCCCCTACTGCGATGACCTACCACCATTCCTTCCATAATAACTTCCTTGCATTCTTTCTATTTCTATGCCTGATGTGACCAAAGTTCATAAGTTTGTGCCTGTTGATTTCTGAGATCAGATTCAGCTTCTCTTCAGCAATATTTCAAAAACAAGCATTTGTTCTCTTCCATCCAGGAGATACACAAGTGTCTTTGTTAGGACCATATCTTAAAGGCTTCAGTTTTCTGCTTGTCAGCAGCATTATTTCCCAGGAATCCCATCCATAAGTTGTTATGAAAAAATAAGCTTTTTATTTTTTTCATAGCACTTTATGGATGTGAATTCTGGGAAACTAATGCTGCGGACAAGAAGAAAATTGAAGCCTTTGAAATATGGTAGAACAGATGCTGGACTTCAATCATTGTTTGTTTAATTTCATCTGGCTGAGAGAAGATATGGATGACAGGATGGTTAAAGCACTGGTGTCTGCTGATGCCCTGTCTGTCTGAACACTGCCGTTTGTGTAATATATGTTACAAACACATACATGACACATTGCCTACATATTTAAAAAAATTAAAGTATCAGCATATAGGTAAGCTTGAAGGATATGAAACTTTCAAATTTTGACTTTTTGTAAGAAAATTGATCTTATTCAGTTTTTAAAATCTTGATTATCTGTGAAAGTCCAGAGTCAAATTGGACAGCAGGAAGGCAAGATGGGATGCATTGGGGACAAGCAGGAATGTGTGTAGCCTATGCTGAAGGTAGTGAATGGGGATTTCAGAGGGAAGAGGGTTCTTTGGGCATGTAGGAGGTCCAGGGGTTGTGGCAGTGTTGGTGTAGAGGAGAGAGAGCAGGAATGCATGGAGAGGCTAGAGGAGGAAGAGGTCTTGCATGTTGGGGACATTGGGTCTGGGCTGCGGAGATGAGTCTCTACTTGAACAGTTCCCTATGGCACTGCTGCTTTTGCTCCACTGCTCACTGAGGCAGGATTGCAAGGGGAGCTCTTAAAGGCGAATTTGATGCTGTGGAACTTTGCTCTGCCCTACCCTATCCTACCTCCCCCACTGTCGTAGCACTGTTTTTCCTAATACAGCCCACTTTCCTATCCACATCCTTCCTTATTCATCAGACCTGTGCATATCCCTCCCACCTCAACACCAGAAAGCAGGGCTGGAGAGCTAAAGGTAATGGGGAGATGGCTGTATGTGAGGAGGTTGTGAGCAGAGATGTGAAGGAAGCATGGCAGGGTTAGCGGGGATATCTTTGTTCCTATCTAACAAAGATAGGAAAGGGTAGGGGGCCAGGCATGGGGGAGCCATCTATGATGCTCCCAATCAATGCCCCTATACTCTGGAGAAAGTATTCATCTTGCCTAGCATGAGTTTCACTCCAATTAACTTGATCTTGTCTGAGAATAGATTTGCAGCATACAGAGTGGCTGGAGAAGGGACCCCTTAAAAAAGCAACTTAAGCAAAATTAGCCCTGACTAGTCTATAAACATAACAATGGGAGACCATAGTTGTTAGTATTTTAGATTAATTACAAACTAATTTATTCAAATGTAGCCTCCACATGACTTCAGTTAAGCTGAACTATATGGAAAGTTTGAAGATTCTATCTTATTCTATTGATGAGGTTATTCTGGTCAAAAAGAGAGAGAGGACAAAGGCTGAACTTATTTTTTTTTTAAAAGCTCATCAAAAAGATTTTAAAAATCTTTTTGAACTCAAAACAATTAATGAATTTCCTTTAGTAACAAATTTGGAGATGGTACACTGTATTATTCATACATAAGAAAGCTATTCAGTTCCCATTCTAAGTTCAAAGCTCAACTCATCTGTAACTGGAATTGGGGCCACTGCCTCCATCATGAGATTTCTGGTAATATACACAATTAACAAACTAGCTTGGTCAGATTGTGAGATTGTACAAAATAAACTAAGAGCACTCTTGTTGTGCTTGCAGTTTTGCAGAGGAGAGAAGATTGGTTCTGTTCTAAATAAGATGAGTCTGACTATTAGTTGATTTTTACTTCTTGGAATAGGACTAATAGAAATTTGGTTTACTTAATTTTTGAAGGCAGGGTCTTGGAAGTTATGTCAAAACATTTTGTATATTGTTGCCTTGACTTTAAATTAAACAGGTGCCCTGACTTTAAATTGGGCAGTCTAATGTTCTCACTTCCAGTGCAAATGAGGAGGATGTCATCCAAACAATCATTTAAAAAAGTACAGAAACTTGTGTGTGAAGAGTACAATGTTCTCTTAGAAATGAAGTAAATGTGTGTATTTGTGTGTAAGGGCTTTATTTACTGAATAATTTTATGGCAAACATTTTTTAATGTACTATGATCCTCTTTACTTTAGCCTAAACTTGTTGTAACTGCAACTTTTGGGATAGAACCAGGAAGGAGAGTGGAATACATGCCGCTTCTAGAAAGAGCACTGGAAATGATACAGCACCAACCTCAGAAAGTTCTCATATACAGTCGACCTCACTTGGTAAATTTATAGTTGTTCTTGTTTATTAACTTTTTATGTATCTTCTTTTTTTTTCTTTTTTAATCACATATGTTTTGCTGTGCATTTTAATTGAGATCTTTCGTGTCATGAGATTTAAATAACTTTTAATTAGCTAGTAGAGCTTCTGTGTCTGAGAGATTAGGTATACTAGCTTTGTTCAAGGTATCCATATGGGAGACTGGATGCTGCATATCTCTTGAGCCAGTGTCTTTTATTCCATCTGGTTAAATTTCATTGAATATTTCTGTTTCTTGGTGTATAGGGAACTGTTCCTCTAGTCTCAGGTCGTGACCTTGATTGGGATGAAGAAATAGCAAAAGCCAAGCCTCATGATTGTGTTGCTGTTCGTTCAGATCATCCACTTTACATTCTTTATACATCAGGAACGACTGGCTTGCCCAAGGTAGGGTACTATCTTTAGTATAAATATCTGTGACCAAACTATTTTCCGTTCCATATCAGAGAGCATTTAATTAAAAGGCTGAAAATATTTGCCAAAGCTCACTGCAATGAATGATAAGCATTGTTAAAACTGCTTTGATTTCATTTGCTCGCATTTCATTACTTTAACTTTTTAAGATTTAAAGTTCATTGTCTTCCAATAAATCATAATAGTGGATCTGAATGTGAATGACATAAAATAAACTGAATTCTAATCTAAACGTTTGTTTAATATAAATTCTTTAGGAGAAGGGACATATTTCTTCTCTATGTATGCACATTCTATATTAGCAGTGTGATATGTTGTATAATAATTTAGTGATAGGTTGGTCAACAGTGTTTACTTTGTGATCACTTGTTTGTTTGTTTTATACTGAATAAAGGAGGATCAGATAATACTCCATGAATTTTAACTGGAATCTGGGTGTAATGTTGAATAGTTCCTTCATTAAAAAAAAAAAGCATATAAAGATGGAAGCTGAGATTGAATAAGGTTAGACAACTAAGGCAGCAGATGCTTTGAAGACTTTAGCTTTTCAAATTCAGTCAGTTATATATCTTTAGAAGAATTCTGATATGCTGAGTAGAACACAGAATGCCCCAAACTTCTTTCTTGGGCTAGTTTTATTGCTATAGTAACATTTTTTTCTTGTGTTAATTTGTATATTTTTCCAACTCTCCTCCCCCCGCAAGCCCAAGGAACTTTAGTCAAAAACTTAAGATATCTAAGACATTAATGAAAATGTTACATTTTGTCTGCTTTCCCTCATTATTTTAAGATTAAATGTCAAACCTGTTTCACCTTTGCCCATTGGCTGACTATTGCTCAAATCAGTCTAAAACTGTACACTACTAAAGCAGTAGCCCATAGGGTTTGTGTTAGAACTTCCTTACCGCAAAGGAAAGGAGTATTTCTTCAATAAAATATCTGAAGCAATACTCCATTTAATCACATATGATGCAGATTTAAGTGTCTTCTCAAACACAGTGAATAGGTCTCCCCTCACAAGGGTTCGTGGGAGAGCCCACAGAGGTTCACGGGGAGGGTGGAGGAAGCATCTAAAAAGACTGTCTGTCTCAGTGGAAAGCCCATTATATCTTTGTGGAAAACAGATGCTTAATATCCTAACACTTAACTCTAAATTGTTTTTGGTTTACTGACTCTAGGGAGTGCGAGATGGGTGGAAGTAGGGTAAGGGCATGTCAGTGAGAAATCTGGGTCCAGAGGCACCAGCTATATGCTTTTCCATCCCTTTCATTTGCCTCCTTCTGGCACTGGAAGGATCTTCTCTATATCTTAACAAGCTGGAAAGAGAGCTGTATAGTGCTGGTGGCTGGGTGAGGTCAGTGGAATATGTAATGGATGGCCTAGTAGGTGGAGGAAAATACTGAGTGAGCAGAACCCGAGATAAATAGCTAAAAATACAATTGCACAACAAGAAGAAAACCAAATAAGAGGGAGAAATGGGGGCAGAGAACAGAACAGAAAATCTTAAAATAGAGGCAATGACTGGCATGAAAGGACATAGGCTGAGAGAAGGGAAAGGGATTCCCAGGTGCCTATTCATCTTGAGGTGAAATCCAATTAAAAGGGCTAGGAACCCTACCTATCCTCAGTGAGAAGGAGCTTTTCACAAACAAATAGCAATCCAGTTAATCAAAGCACAGAGGAGTCAAACGCATGTTGCTTCTTTTGAGAACTCTAATAAAGTACTTAGATGAAATAACAAAGTTATTGTGGGGTATTACAGCTAAGCTTACATAAGTAGGTGCACATAGGTCCTGTGATCCCAACTCTTCCAAAATTTCTAGCGACTGTTGTGCTAACTGCATCCCAGAAGCAACTTTTAGATGTCAATAGAGTTGGCCAAAACTTGTAATCTCCACTTTTTGAAATTTGATTTAGTTCTGATTCAGACCGGAATAAAACCCTTGTTTTTCAAAATTTCCTGCAACCCACACATTCTATTTAAAATTTTTACTTTGGAAACTTCAGTACATGATGTTTCCAAAATGAAATCGGCTCTCCAGGACTCTGCCACTAGTGTATGAAATTGATTGTGATTCTTCCGCCCTATACTGTACAACACTGGTGAAATAGCAGCTAGCTAGTCAGACTCTGTATGTTTTTGTGAAACATTCTGGGCTCAACGAATCAGCGTTTTCCAGTGAAAGCCTGTTTGGTCGGAAAATTCTCAATCAGCTCTAGTTCTCAACATAACTGACTGTGCAAGATGCTGTTGACAGCAAAATAAATATATATTATTCCATAGCATGGTGCTTATGTTTCTGTTACTGAAGAGAAGGAGAGGATTAATTTCTGTACATACTTGAATTAAATGTTTTATAACTTTTTTGTTTGTAAATGTGTGGAAAACTAATTTTGAATAGAGGATTTTAGCTGGGTGATGGTTGTGTTCTGTAAATAATTGGCAGCAGATCTAATATTTTGTTCTATCTTTTTTGAACTAATTCTCCAGGTAATAATGCAAAAGTTAATTTTAATCCGTACTTGGCCTTTCTTCAATGGGACTACTTGTATGAGCAAATATTTATAGGATTGGGCTGTTATATTATTCTGATATGGCAGGGATGTCAAAGTTCAAGTTAGACAACTTTAAATATTCTAGCTAATTTATAGTAATGAGATTTTTTTAATAGAAGGAGATTTAATGTGTGTTTGCCTTTTAAGTGATCTTAATTTTAAATTACTTCTCACTTAGGGTGTTGTTAGACCAACAGGTGGCTATGCGGTTATGTTGAACTGGACAATGTCCACTATATATGGACTCAGACCTGGAGAGGTAAGTGCTATTTAAATTTTAGTTGCATGTATTAAAACTTTTTGGAACTTTTTTTTAACTGAATTTAATTTTTATTTTATTTTAGGTGTGGTGGGCAGCTTCTGACTTAGGCTGGGTAGTTGGCCATTCCTACGTTTGTTATGCACCTCTCCTGCATGGGAATACAACTGTTTTGTATGAGGTAAATGATTGAAAGAGACACAGTAGGTGTTCCCCAGCATGAAGGAAGCACTGGGAGGGAGGGAGAGGAGTTGATGGGGGTGGGGCCCCCTGGATACCATCTGGGACCTCCACGGACCCCAGTTTGAGAAACACTGGTATACGTAACTCCATTGAAGGCAACAGGACTACATACATGTATAAAGTTAAATACATATGTTTTTGCATTAAAGTTACATGCTTGTGGGTCTTTAATTGACTTAGGATACTAGATTCAAGAGTTCAGGACACTATAGTTCAGATGGTTTACTTGTTCTGCATATCCCACTCTTCTTTCGGATCATGGTCCTGCCCCATCAGTGCACGGCCCAGCACATATAGCCTAGTTAAGACCTTCAACAAGTATGAATTAATCAAGGATCTTGAAAATTTCCTCCGTAGTTGTTCAGTTTAGGATTTCTTTGCAAAATAAGTCTTCAGCTGTTATACCCGCTTTGACAAGTCTCATGTGTGACAGAAGCTGAGCCATGTTGGCTATGTTTGAATTCATCAAGCTGCAGTGCACAATATTGCCTCTTAACTTGTTTTGTCAACTGCTTCTGGATGTTTTCTGCAAGATAACCATTGTGTCAATGGATGGTATTATTTGACATAAAAATGGTTATCGGTACCATGGCTACTTATTCCCCAGTCATAATTCTACACGTCTATTGCTTCTGGAATTTGAATTGTCTGGTAAATGGTGTGTGCAGGTTTACCTTTTGCAATTCACCTGGCCACAACACAAGATCATTTAAAGCATTTTTGAGGAAGAGTTGCTTCTTTACACATAACTTCTCTCACTCCTGCTGCTCCCCCAAGCTTTAATTCTTGTTTCCAAAAGAAAAATTGCTGCTCTTGTTTTTCGAATTCTGGGTGTTAAATGTCTCTCTAGTTTCCCTGGCCTCATGCTTTCATTTACTAACACCTGAAAACAAGTGACATGTTTTGGCTATGGACTTTCCTCAGTAATACGGAGACATGAAAATTCAAATATAATGTAACTATCATCACATTATTTACGTTTCTTCATGTTATATTTAACTGTGTTAAAACCATCATCTTCTTCTGCCAAACATTAGCTACATGTAGGCTTAGTATGTGGTAAAAGTTGTTCCCTTATTAAAATCAGACACTGATACCCACGCACTCCAGGGCACCCACTTTTACCCAGTTCCTAGGGCTCAAGGCACCTGGTTGACTTAGGCACCCCCACCCTTTCCCAGTTCCTAGGGCTCTGAGGGAAAGGCACCTACCCATACCCAATTCCTAGGGCTCAGGGCGTACTCTTCTGTGGGTTTGCAGGATGTTTTTACCAGTGAAAGAGACTTACACAGTAATATCCTTAACGTCTATTTATTAACAATCACCAAAACAGAATGCACACGCTAAGCATACAATGCTCACTACTCCCAATAAGGTATATGAGCTTTTCCTGCTGGCCAGTCAGGATCGGGTCATCCGAGGACTCTGCACGATGTGATTGGCAGAGTGTTGAAGTCTGGCAGCTCTGATCTTGGGGCTGTGTCCTGGAGTTGGTTCCAAAGAACTTCCTTTTGGATCCCAGTTTTATATAGTGAAACTTGAGTCCTGCTTAGCTGTACCTTAACCAAAGTACAATAAAAAGGTAATTTTCAACAATCCTAGCCCATTATGAAACAATTATTTAACTAATCATACCCCACCACCATAGTAGATTTATACCGAGCAAAATTAATTATACAACAGATGGAAACAATCAAAGAACCAGACAGAGACCATACAGATAAACAATAGAAAAGTAGGGACCATAAAGGCAAAACAATGGAAGTTTGGGTTTTATAATCAGAACTATTGATAAGTGATTCCTTGCCAGACAGAATGCTCTCAAGCAAAGTTTTCTTTAAACATCTTAAGAGATTCCTTGCTTATCTGGTGATGGTGGGCACTATTAGGAGGGGTGCCTTCTTACCAGCCCGATATTACCTTGTTTTGGTATACTTTAGAAGGAATGTGATGATGTGACTTTCTGCTTCTCAGCTCATGGCTGCTAATATGGCTGCAGGGAAAGGCCCAAGGCTTTTGCTGTATCCAGTTTTCCTTTTGCCTTATACTGCCAAAGCAGTTCTTTGCTGTCTAGTGTCCAGCAGGTGGTGAAAGCCTTTCTGTATCACCTGGGAATATTGGCTTTGGCAGCTGTTATTAGGCTAATGTGGTGATGATAATTGGCAGAGGTCGGAGGGATACAGCTTTCCAAAAGTTCCACTGAGGCTTCGAAATAGCAGGATCTGGAGACTGACCTGAATTACCAGGGGTCTGTGTTGGCTTTTGGGAAAGTTGTCAAATACTATCCTTGTTGATGGCAAAAGGTGGCTGCTGTTTTCTTACAAAGCAAAGGTCAGGCGTATAGCATTTTTGTCAGTGTGCTAAAAGTGCCATGCTCCTTAGTGTTGTAGAGCAGACAAAGGTCTTCTGCCACTGCCCGTGATGACAGTTTTTCTCCCGCGCAATCGTTGGTATCATAGCCCCACAAATTGTGGTGGTTGTTGAAGTCGCCTACGTGATGGTGGGGTGGCTTGAAGGTGGCAGCACTGCGAGAGGGCAAGTTCGTTAATGGGAGTTGTCATAAATATAAAGGGAAGGGTAACCACCTTTCTGTATACAGTGCTATAAAATGCCTCCTGGCCAGAGGCAAAACCCTTTCACCTCTAAAGGGTTAAGAATCTAAGGTAACCTCGCTGGCACCTGACCCAAAATGACCAATGAGGGGACAAGATACTTTCAAATCTGGAAGAGGGGGGGCGGGAATAAAGGGTTCTGTCTGTGTGTTGTTTTTGCCGGGAACAGATCAGATCTGCAGCCTTCCAACTCCTGTTAAGTTAGTAAGTAATCTAGCTAGAAAATGCGTTTGATTTCCTTTTGTTTAATGGCTGGTAAAATAAGCTGTGCTGGAGGGAATGTATATTCCTGTTTTTGTGTCTTTTTGTAACTTAAGGTTTTGCCTGGGGGGATTCTCTATGTTTTGAATCTGTAAGGTAAGGTATTTACCATCCTGATTTTACAGAGGCGATTCTTTTACTTTTTCTTCAATTAAAATTCTTCTTTTAAGAACCTGATTGCTTTTTCATTATTCTTAAGATCCAAGGGTTTGGGTCTATGTTCACCTGTACAAATTGGTGAGGATTTTTATCAAGCCTTCCCCAGGAAAGGGAGTGTAGGGCTTGGGGGGATATTTTGGGGGAAGAGATCTCCAAAGGTCTCTTTCCCTGTTCTTTATTTAAAGCGCTTGGTGGTGGCAGTATACTGTTCAAGGACAAGGCAAAGTTTGTACCTTGGAGGAAGTTTTTAACCTAAGCTGTAAGAATAAACTTAAGGGGGTCTTTCATGCAGGTCCCCACATCTGTACCCTAGAGTTCAGAGTGGGGAAGGAACCTTGACAGGGGTTTATCGACATTCACTACCGTCAAGTTGATGACCTGGATGGCGATGGAATTAGGGGTTGTGTTAGGGAGTAGCTGTATAGAGTTCTTCACATCATCTTTGGTATAGGTTACCAGGCCTTGTTTTGGATGGAAGACTGCTAAGATAGGGATCTATCTGTTGATCTTGGAGCGATGACTTTTTCACTCAATTTACATTTCCTCCGGTCAGTTTTCTCAGTTCATAGGATCTTTGTGAGGTAGTTGCATTTTGTGCTGGATAAACCCTTGATATTTAACTGCATTATATGCAGTGAGGGGCCATTGTCTGGTTTGACTTGGAAGGTGCCATTTTTGCCATTGCTTTGCTGACCTGTAGGCCTTTTCGGGACATTTGATCATCAATTTAATGACATTTGTTGTGCTTACACACATAGGAGGAGAGACCACAAGCAGGTTGTCATTTCATCCCTAAACAAATTTATGAAGATGTTCCTACCCTAGGACATCAACCAGCACCTGTGTGCAGCACAAAGTATGGGGTGGTTAGCACAAATTGATGCCACAGTTGGATTGTGGTGATTATCCTGCAAGTGAGGCAAGTGGAAGTCTGCAATCTGGGCCATTATTTAAAAGATAAACTGTTGTTAATTGTAGAGAGGTTTCTTTTTGTTAGCATTTGAAGGGAAGAAAATGAGTGACTGGGAAGGAGGGGGTACTCCTGGTGGAAGGGTCAAATATGCGTTAGTAGGAGCATTGCCAGCAGATTGAGGGAAGTGATTATTCCTCTCTATTCGGCACTGGTGAGGCCACATCTGGAGTATTGCATCCAGTTTTGAGCCCCCCACTACAGAAAGGATTTGGACAAATTGGAGAGAGTCCAGCGAGGGTAATGAAAATGATTAGGGGGCTGGGGCACATGACTTTTGAGGAGAGGCTGCGGGAACTGGTCTTATTTAGTCTGCAGAAGAGAAGAGTGAGGGGGGATTTGATAAGTCTTCAAGTATCTGAAGGGGAGTTCCAAAGGGGATGGAGCTAGGCTGTTCTCAGTGGTGAAAGATGACAGAACAAGGAGAAATGGTCTCAAGTTGCACTTGAGGAGGTCTAGGTTGGATGTTAGGAAAAATTATTTCACTAGGAGGGTGGTGAAGCAGTGGAATGGGTTACCTAGGGAGGTGGTGGAATCTCCATCCTTAGAAGTTTTTAAGGCCTGGCTTGACAAAGCCCTGGCTGGGATGATTTTGTTGGTGTTGGTCCTGCTTTTAGCAAGGGGTCGGATTAGATGACCTCCTGAGGTCTCTTCCAACCCTAATCTTCTATGATTCTATGCCACCTCCAAGAAGGGCAGCATGGCTTGTATTTAACCCAACCCCTTATAGTGGAGAGCAACAAAAGTGGAGTGATTGGCATGCACAGTTCAAAATGGCAACCAGTCTTAATGAGTGAGCTGAGTCCAATAAGCTGAAGTTCCTGAGCCTGTTGCTCATAGGGAAAGACAGGGAGGATGAGGATTTAGCAGTAAGGTTTGACCGGCCTATAAGTGTCTAACAGATGCCCTTACACATTCTATGGAGCCTACAGCATG